TGGGTCTCCCAAGAACTCACCTTTAGTCATTTCTGCTAACTTTTCCTTTTCCCCTCTTCAACCTAATCAAAATCCCACTTTTACCCTTCTTTTCAAACCCCAGTTGGGTTCTTTTTCACTTCGTAAAAGCACTACTTCCGATCCGGGTTGTAATTCTAGTTCTGTGGGTAAGCTGAATGGAGAGGGGAATTCCTTTGGGTTTGTTCCTTTGGAGAGGCCATCTAGTTTTAAGGACTTCTCAGTGGAGGATTATGCTAAAGATTCTGTCTTTAAGGGGATTGCTGTGATGGCTAAAACAGAAATGCCTTTGACAAAAAGTGTGACGATGGATTGTCGTTGGGGTGTGAATTTCCCTAAGGATTTGGGGAATAGGATGCCGTTTTTAAGTGTGAATAAGATTGGGATTAAGAGAGTTGATGAAGTTAAGGAGGTGAAGGAGAAGAAGGATGAGAATCTAGGCGAAACTGAGCTGTTGAAAGGTATGTGTTTTTGGATGAAAAAGGAGATGGAGATGCTGCAGAGAGAGAATAGAGAGATGAAACATAGGTTTGAGGAAATGACTATGGGGAATGCGGTTAGGCATGGTGCTGGTGAGAGAGAGTTTGTAGGTGTGCAGGTGGTTGAGAATTCGAATTCAGGGGGATTTGAGGAGTGGAGGAATAGGAGGAAGAGTGGGGGAGAGAATGCAAAGAAGGACGAGAAGAAGCATGCTTCGGATGGGACTCGGGCTAGTGATGTTGAGAGTGAGTTGCAGAAAGCAATTAGGGCTGCTTCTTCAACGTGAGTTAGCTAATTGTCTGCTAATTAGCTCGAGTAAATAGTTAATGATTACTTTCTTTTTTAGTATGCAATGTATATGTGAATGAGCTTGCTGTAACTTAAGCGTGATACCTATCTCCTTCAGGAGGGTTAGATTGATGAAGAATTTATAGTTTTGCTTCTCTCTCTAGATATCGAGAAGGCCTCAGGCCCTCCTCTTGCAAGTACCGTTTCAAATTGTTTATAGGTTGACGATTGCTTTTCCATTTTATTTTCCTTTTGAGTTTATTTAGAAGTAACAAGAACATTTGGATATAGACCTAGGGATATTAGTTTTTTTTTGGGTTTTTGATAGACATAGAACATTTTCACTCGTCAAATCAGGGGAGAAAAAGGAGTATATCAAACATGAGCATGCTTGTAAGACAACGACATAAGCTACTACTGTATGATATTGGGAGTACTCGTAAGGGGAAGCTGATTTTTTTGGGAAACCAACTTGAGGAAATGTACGAGATTGAATTACAAATCAATGAGATGTTTGTTGACTAAGTCTACAAGTTGCGAAAACAATATTAGAAAATGTTGAGCTTCATCTTCATTTAGTCCCTATTGGAAAGCAATATGACAAGTGTATAGTTGAAATATCTATACCTTGCATTTAAGTGTTTCCTCTCTCTTGAAGAAGCTTCTCTTTTCTCGTTATTTCCTCTCTCTTGAAGAAGCTTCTCTTTTCTCGTTTTTGTGGTAAATAGAGATGACTACATTTGCTTCTTTGCTCATTCTGTTTGTTAATTTATGTAAAGCCTTTCATCATGCATAGATTTCTATCAACAAAAAGTAGTACCTAAGCATTGTAATATTAAAACAGATTAGAAGTTCAATTATGGGCTCATACCAGGTTGCTTTTGGTACTGAAAATGGTCTTTTTGAAAATGCTACATCCCCTTATTTCTTCTGTTATGATAAAACTGTGAAGATATCACCTCCAGTCATTGTGGGTTTGATTGAAAAAATAAAGGTCTAGGACGAGATCTCTCCTCGCTAGAGAAACACTGGTGGCCGTGGTGGATCAGACAGCTGCTGACACCCACTCTCTGAATGGAAATTCCACATCTTTCCATTTTCTGAAATCATCTTTGTACCAGCTTCTGTCTTTCATTCCCTTCCGTCTGTACCCTTTCCTTGCTGTGCAAATGGGTAGGTGCTACAACTCCAACTGAACTCAGAAATAACTGCAGTCACTTGTCCCAAGCAACCTCACCCTACTCTAAAGCCGATCTCCCCTATGCAATACCCTCCTTCCCTCTTGTTGGCCACAAAGTCACGTGGTGACGATAGTGTCCTCTCTCAAACTATGGTCATCTATAATACGCCCATACCATGACCAAATAAGCCAAACATGTTTAATCATGATGAGGATAGTAGTTTGGGATGTGCAAAGATTGCAAGATTGATTCAAGTCTAACCAACTTTCAAATTCCTAAGCACTGTGCAACAAAATTGTTTGCTTTATTTTAGTGTACTTCTCATGGGTACATATTTCGAGGGGAATGTTAGTGTAATATCGACAAGCTGAATGTTGGATTTACTTTTCCTCCTGGTTTAGACAAGGGGTGGCGCAAAGGGGATGGAATTTCATGTGACGTATCGTTTTTTATGAAGAAGTTGCAAACTAGTAAGATCCATAAAGGACTGGAAAGAGATTGGTATTCCAACAGGTTGAACTTGGCAGATCATTGAGACTTGGAAGTGTTCCTTTCCTATTCTTTATATTTTTCTCCTCGTCGTTCTTATCTACTACTCTTAGGAGAAGAGTGGTGTCTAATCCTGTTATTGTGAATTGCTTTGGGGACTTGCATTTCCTGAATGTCTGATCTCTATTATGAAAGTTATTGTGGCACTCAAATAGATCAATGGTCCAGCTCCCAGAGACTGCTTCTAGCATATGCACTACTCCTGAATTCAACAGGATTGTATTACACATAAACTTGTTTTTCATTTACCTTATCACCAAATAAAAAGAAAAAAGAACTTGTTTTTCATTTAGGGCTTTGGGAGTAATACTCCTGAATCTGTAATTTGATGAAGAATGTTTTTGTAGGAAATTCATTGTTTATCCGACCTTTTTGTCACCAGGATTTCGTGCCATATCTCGGCTAGCTTCATATTTGCTTGGATAGAAGTAGTGGAATTTTTGTGAAACTTTATGTGCTTCCGGAAGATAGTTTTCTATTATAAGATGCTTCTGGGGGGTTGTTTTACCATTGAAGACTGCATAACGCACTTCTATGTATACCACTCAGTATACCTTGCCATGCTTCAATTGGCAGCCTCTTGTTTATCTGTGCAGATAATATATTGTATTTCATGGGGCTGTTGGTTTTTACGTAGCGGTGTTGATTGTTGAGAAGACATGAGAGATATGTCCTATTTCTCCATACTCAACCATCCCTATGTTAAGAGCAAGTCTAAGCTATTGCAAAGTGTGCTCATTTGCAAAACTTGACCAGTTCTACTACCCCGAAGTTGTGAACTTTAACATAAAACTTTGGAATATATATAAAAGAGATCAATGCCAATTTTAAACTTATACAAGTCTATGAGCCATCAAGAATGTCCAGTTTCTAGACATCTTAATTGTTGTCGGATACTTGCAAATTTATCGTCTGTGCTAGTCTAGTTGTTTCTTTGTTACGCATACCGTCCATTTGTCTTGTCTTGAATTGAATCATTTTCACCCATCACTATTTTCATCAAACTATAAATACATGAGGCACATTAAACTTTTATCACTTTAACTATGTTTAATTAATATATATTCTCAGTTTTTTTGTAATCTAATTGTGGTAAATTAATCTAGTTTGACGTAAAATGAAGGAAACACTGATCATATTTATCCGGATTTGCGCTGCAAGAGTTTCTCCATTTTTTGTGCTCGAACCCTAAACATATACGAGTAGAGTAATTTCATCCCTCCCATCTCATTTCTTGGTGGTTCTTCTCTGGATGAATTTAAAGATATTAATAAAAATAGTTAATCAGAAGAGCTTATTATTTTGAAAAGGTAAATTGGTCAAATTATAATATTTTATATTAATAATAAATATTTATTTATTTAATTAGAGTAATAAATAAGTTAAAATAACTGTACAAAACAAAAGTTGGTAAGGTAAAAGGAGAAATGAAAAAGGGGGTGTTTGGTACCAAGGAAAATATTTTTCGGAAAATGTTTTCTAATTTTCCCATGTGTTGGCTTAAATGTTCTGGAAAATAATTTCCTTATGAATTTATTTTCCTCCAATTGGAGGAAAATATTTTCCTTATCAAGACAAGGGAAAACATTTTCCAAAATTCCTTCTCAACCTTCCCCACCCTCACCAACCCACCCCACCTCCTCTCCAAAAAAGGCTTTTTTTTTTTTAAATTTCAGTTTTTCCGTTACCACCCCACCCCCCACCGCAAAAAAAAGTTATTTTTTTTACCTTATTTTTTTTTGTAATTTCAAATTTCTGTTTTTTCGTTTTTCTGCACCACTCACTCCAACCCCCCGAAAAAAATATTTTTTAAATATATTTTTTTTATTTATCGGTTTAAAGGTAAAAATTTTACAAGTTCCAAAATTATAAGTTCAGATGTATATGTGTTTGGAAGTTTATGTGTTTAGAAATTATAAAGTTTACGGGTTCGAAACTCCGCGGTTTTGAAAGCTTAGCGGTTCGAAAGTTTATGAATTTGTGGGTTCTAAAGGTTGTTGGTTTGAAAGTTTATGACTTTATGTTTATTATATCTAAATTATTTATGAATACTCTTGAAAAGTCATTTTTCTTAATTTGCATACCAAACACCGGAAAAATAAATAAGATTACTACTTATTTTCCAAGAAAGTATTTTCTTGTAATACATTTTCCAGGAAAAACATTTTCCGTTACACCAAACACACCCAAAGTGATTACTGTTATGAAAACTAAAGGTGAAGGTGTTTTTCTATGAGAAATTTTCATAAAGAACTATCTTTTAGTGGTAATTAGCATCTATAGATACCATTTGCTATATTACGGATTGTAGATACGTTTTCTGTTGTTATAAGATGTATTAGATATATTTAAGCTACTGTATTTATGAATACAGTAGCAAAAATAGGTGTGAATCAGGGAAGTCCAGCTAATCAGTTGTTGTATTCGAGTGTATTCATGGAATGAAACATGGGATTACAGCTAGACAGATTATTGTATTCGAGTGTATTCGACTGTATTCATGGCGTGAAACATGGGATTACAGCTGGACAGATTATTGTATTCGACTGTATTCACGACGTGAAATAGGGGATTACACTGTTTTTAAACGGAAAGTGAATCAATTAACATAATAGACTCCTAATATAACTCAACAAACGCAATTATAACACACAAATTTTATATTTTCAGTTATAAAAAAGATTCTCAACCGAAAAACACCCAAAAAACATAGCAATCTTTAGAGAAATTATATAATACATTTGAATGCATAAATTATATTAATTTTAAAAAAAACATATGAATACATTCATGGAATATAGCGAGATAGTGAATACAATGAAATACATAGAAAACAACGAGATACATTGAAATACAATGAAAAGAATGACAATGAATATAATGAAATACATGAAAATACAACGAGATACATTGAAAAATATTAACAGAAAATTTAAGTTGCTCAGCTCCCAACTCCATCGTCTTTGTTCAAGAGCAACCCTAATATCGAAGCAGCATCAGTATCTAGTAACTAATCCTTACAATTATTGGCTTTCGGAAGTATGTGTCGACCCTTGGTTTCGGAAGCATCGAATTACCTTTCTTTCTTGTACTAAGATGGAGTTTCAACACTTGGTTTCATTCTTGCAATTCTGTCTCCTTGGTCTTTCTTCACTTTTGACTATTAGAATGGAGGAAATCGAACAGAGTAAAAATAATATAAAGCTTATTTTATGGCTTAATGGTAGGAAATGATTATAAATATATATTTGACTATAAAAAATCAAAAGATAACTATGGAATATAATTTGTTAAAAGTATATTTAATTAAAATAAACCAGCTATCAACCTGTTTACTGTTTGGGGAATTTGCACAAACAAAAGAGCAGACCGGGTACCCACGAAGAGAGGAGTTGGGATGGCAACGTCGACGTCGACCGGCAAAACTGGCGGCAGCAGCAGCAGCAGAGATGGGTCAGCGAAAACGATGGTGGCTGATCAAATCACTCAGTCCATTCAGTCCACCTCCAATCTCCTCCATCTCATGCTTCAGTCCTCCCCATCTCAGGCACTTCCTTTTTTTTTTTGTAAAATCCATCATTTTCTAATAATTAATTATTAATCTGCTTGTTTGTGTTCTTATAGCTAGTAGATTATTTGGTTTTCCTCTAATAGCTAAATTGTCTTCATCGTCATGCCCAAAAATGCTATATGCTGCTCCATATATAATCAAGATTATAGTTGAACTTCAAGGCAATAAGCTTCTGATTAGGGATTTTTGTCGAATCACTTCCAGCTTTGCTCTTATGTATCAGTGTATATTTTACCTCTATTGTATTGCCCCATCCATTTCATTTCAATTTATATAACACTCTTCACATTTTGAGACATTCTAAGTTGTGAGATGCCACTCCACTAAGAATATTGTTCTATACAATCTTTACAATTTTCAATAGTTCTAAATCATTTAAAGCTTTTGATCGAATGTTCTGGTTAAGGATGTTTAAATTGATTGTGGCCCTAGTGTCTACCACGTGTCTCGCTGATAGATTTCTCGATGTTGGTTCAGGCCGAACTGATGAAGCTACCAAAGACTCTTTTTGCTAAGACACCTACAATCAAGAATACAGAGCTGGTATGCAGGACCTCATATTGTTATAATTTATGAGTTTTAATTAAGATGAACCTGGAGGAAGCCTTCTATTGCTTTTATTTTCCTCGTTGCAGGTATTGGAGCAGTTGCCTCAGGTGATTTCAGCATTGGATGCTCATATGGAAAACGGGTTACAAAGGTTGGCCTTTTTCCCCCATTCATGGCATTACAGTTGACGAAGTTACCTTGTGCTTTAGATTTTTTCTTTCAAAGTAGACTTTTTACATGCATATCGGTGCTTGTACACAATGTCAAGGCTTAAATGATCCAGGATTGATTGTAATTGGTATGCTGATCACTACTCAGAAAATTATTTTCCGCTAAAACGTATACCTTGGCCTTTACTTCAGAAAAAGAAAGTAGCTTCAGGGTCTGGAGCTAATTAGGTAATGCTCCAGTGGAAAAGTTTACATTGAACTGCTCTCTTTGTAGCGCGAGAGGAAGGGAAAAGAGGAAAGATTTGCATTATGTGTAAAGTCTAAAGAGAATGAGATCTTAATATAAATCAGTGCTTCTAGTCTGTTAGGGTTGGCACCTCATCTTTGCAAGTTAGGCATTAAGATGTGATTTACAACTTTCTTTCAATAAATTACTCCAAATTTGCATGGAGTTTCACATGTTTAACCATTAAGGTTTGTGTTTAATAGGGTAAAGTAGAACTTTTGCAGCTTCAAAAAGAAATTCAAGTTCTTAACTATCACAAAGAAAAATAGAAAAAGAAAATTAAGGTTCTTTTGAGATTTAAAAGTAAAACTTGAAGCGCCTAAAAGCTATGTTGCTCGGACTCTCCGAAAATGTCGATGGGTGCATGTCGGATCTTCCAAAAGTAGTGCATTTTTGGAGGATCCGACACGTGTATGGCAGCTGCTTTGAAGAGTCCGCGCAACATAGTCTAAAAGAGCTTTTGAAGGTTATGGTGATTGGTGGATAATGATGATTATTCTGTTTTCCTATAGTTGGTTTGTATGTCGAGAATTGGTAGAATAACAACCTGAGTATTGATATTGAGGATCTAATACTTTGGCATCATTTAACCGGATAACTAGATTTAAAGATTACAATCTTTCCATACTTGTAAGCTTCATAAAAATCTAAAGGATGAAGATTAATGGATAGATGGAAGAAGATGAAATTGACCACAGACTGCACATCAAGCTTCTGAGTAATACATTTTTCTTTCCTTTAGCCGGAATATGGTTTGACTGACACCAAATATTTGGCATAACTGGAAAGGTGAAGGTTGATCTGTCAAGTTCTTCATCTTCTATATTTCCTAGTATGGTGCAATTTAGGTAAGTCTTTGTTTACATTGTAAATGGAGAGTGGCGTACTTCATTGGCTGAGATAACTCCTTAACAGATATGTCCAATAATAACTCCTTAACAGATATATCCAATATTTGAAAAGGAACACTTTGATCAGTCTTGTTCATGTTGTTGTCAATCCACTTTCATTTTTGAGCTTTGTTACTGTAGTACTTACTTCGAACCATCTTTAGGGCAAGTTTTAGTGCAATTCCTTGTATAAGAGATGATTATCAGCTAATGATGATGAAGAGGCGATTCAAGACGAGATCAGATATCAGTCTATTTGATGTTAGTTTAGTCATACTTCCATAATGGCAATGCAAATTGCTCTCCTTAAGATGGAAGAATCGTTCTTCCATAAGTCAGTTGTCTTTGATCACTCAATTTTCGACTGTTCTCATGTCAAAGTTAATGCTTGCAGTGTTCCTCAGCTGAAAACTGTAATGCAGCTGCTCTCAAACATGGAAAACTGCCAGCTCAAGACCTTATCTAGGGCTCAAGCCACTCAGCAGGTATTAGAAACTTTTTTACCCCCTTCCCCCACCCTCGAAAGGGAATCCCCCCGTGCCCCGGCCCCACCCCAAAAAGGTATCCTCACTCTCTTGTTGGATTGTCATTCATTCATATATTATGGGGTTTATCTAGTTTTCTAACTGAAAAACTACTTAGAGTCAACATGTGTTAGTTTAGACACCTCTTTAGTTGTAGCTTACTATGGTGCGAAAGTAAGGCTGTATTGTGGTCCCGGCCCGGGCCAAACGGGCCTAAACGGGCCTGGGCTTGAGGCGGTCCCAGGCCAAACGGTCCCAATGTGTGGAACCGGCCCACGGTGGTCCTAAGCCCACATGGTCCCGGGCTAAATGGGCCGGGCCCGCGGGCCTAACGGGCTTTTTTCGTTTCGGGCTATTTTTTTTTAATTTTTTTTTATCTAAGGCACTTTCTTGTAAACTATATATGTATATACTAGTATAAATTGCTTATATATAGCTATATATAGTATGTATATATAAGGGTGTATTATGTGTATATGTAATTATATATTGCCTTATGTAATATATATTGCCTTATATATATATATATATATA